AGTATAGCCGGGTGACTCAGGGTTCCTGCCTAGGTGACTGGGAAATTCTAGTATTTGCAGTGGAATTGGGGACATTAGGAGTTTGAGGAGGGATCTTGCTGAGTTCAGTTTGGACATGTTGAATTTGAGGTGCTGAAGAGACATCTAAGTGGAAGTGTCCAAAGAGGTAGAAGAAAAACACTTTCTAACAATAAGAACTGCTGTTCATCAATGACATCAAGAAGTGATGTCTTGCCTCAAGCATGAATTGTGTTTAAATGAGGCAGAGTTGCACAAAGTCATCAGCCTCACTCTCTTCCAGAGTCATTGAAGTCCAGTGGCAAGACAAAAGTCAAGATGACTGGCTATGGCCCGGGATGCAGGGGATGACCTTGGTATCCTCAATGTCTGACGGAGCTCTAAGTGCTCCACAGCACCAATTTCAGCTGCCTTCATGACCTTGGAATAAATTGTTCAACAATGAGAACTATGCAAAAGTGGAATGGACTGCCTCAGGAGAAAATACATTTCCCTTCACTAACAGTCTTACAGCAAAGCTTGGATGATGATTTGCCATGTATATTGCAGACAGGATTCTTATTCAACAATTGCTTGGACTACAGAGCCTCCAAGATACCTTCCACCTCTGAGGTTCTGTGACCCTAAGGTTTCAAGTGGATTCAACAAATGTGTTAAGCACCGAGAGTGATGCATTAGGCATCAAGATTTGAAATATAATAAGGGCTTGGCACATACCCAGATCACCTAAGATGGAGTCACCCATGAAAGAGATGCTAGGGGAAGGGAAAAAGCATTTATCAAATACCTCCTGTTTGCCAGGCACTATGCTAAGTGCTTTACAAATATCTTATTTGATTCTTACAACAACTCTAGGAGTTCCCCATTTTACAGATGAAGAAACTGAGGCATAGAGAAATTAAGTAACTTGCTTATTATCCTATAGCTAGAAAATGTCTAAGATCTGATTTGAACCCAGGTTTTCCTCACTCTAGACCCATCATTCTATTCACTGTGCCATCTAGTTAGGGTTCCTGTTTCTGGGAGACAGGAAAACTGGAGTATGTCTGGACATTTTGCATTGGCTTACCACACGGTTGGGACTAGGCTTTTTCCATGGGTTATTTAGCTAGAATTCTGTGTTTTCAAAGCCACGTGGATAAGCTCAGTCTACCCTCTTTCCTGCATTTACACCAAAGAGTGAGGACTCTTTCATTCACAGACAATGACACCCAGCAATAAGAAAGGACTTGAGGGCCACCTCCCTTCCCCCGTAGGCCATGTAACCCCAAGAAATCGTTCTGGGGTCTTGGTCTACTTCCTTTGTCCTTTTCAGTTCTAGGTACAGAGAGGGGAGTCTCTGACCTGGGAGTATGAGTGAAGGATAATTCAGAGTCCAGAAATCCAGGCTGGGTGTTGTAGCCAGGCTCTCAGAGAAGTCCTAAGAAGTAAGAGTCTAGGATTACAACCTAGCAGGCTTTGGACTTGAATTTTGTGGGGTTAATGCTATGTGGGAATTGAGTTAAACTGCAAAAACCAAGGTGGTGTAGAGTGGGATTATGAGCCCAAGGGGTTAGGGGGAAATGTTTGTATATTTGTTCTTGCTTTATGTTTGAGTAAATCTTTTGTGAATTCTAATCTGAAGTTGAGTGATTAAATGGAACTGGGTGCTAGTCACTGGCACCTGTAAGGAGAGAACACAACCAATAAGAGCTCTGGTGATGGAAAGAAAAGAGAGACCTTCTCAGCTCCATCAGGGTACTAGTCAGCAGAACCAGTGTGTCAAATGTAACAAATCTGGCCTTCAGACTAGGGTCGGAGAAATCCTGTTACACAAAGATGAAGAGCGACATAGTTCCTGCCTCCAACAAACTTTATAATCTAGTAAGTGTATGAGCTAAGGGCACAATTAGAACACAAATAAGAAAACTATTAAGTGTATCGTATTTTGGGGTGTGGGAAGTTTAGCACCTGGGAGGATGAGCACCTGACCTGGAAAGACAGGATGTCAGCAAACAGGGATGATAGGAAAACCTGGGATTAGGAATTCGAGGTCATGGAAGAACATGAGATCTAGAAATAACCAGTAGTCCTGTCTGACTGGAGCTGTTGTTGTTGTTTGTCCTTTGTTCTCGAAGAGGACCATGACATCAAGGCATGGAGTATGTAAAGAAGGGGATGGTCAAACAAGACTGGGGAGGTGGGATGCAGTAAAATCTGGGAGTGCCTTGAGTTCCAGGCTTAGCAGTTTGTATTTTATCTAGTAAACAACCAGGTAGTAAAGGGAGACTGGAGTGAAGGAGTGACATAATCAGGCTTGTGCTTTAAAGCCTTCCTTTGTCAGCAGTTTAAAGGCCAGCTCACAGAGGGAGAAATTGAAAGTAGGGAGATCAGAGTCAGGGGAACTGGAGAGGAAATTATTTTGATAGTCCAGGTAATGGGAGCTTGAGCTGATGTGGCAATGCAAGGAAAAGAGAGAGAATAAATGGAAGAAGTATTTTTGAGGTATAATTCACAGGACTTTCCCTTTGGCAGTAAGGCATGTGGAAGTAAAAAAAAAAAAAAAGAATGACTAAGTTGTCCAGCCTAGGTAACTGGGGAAATGCTGGTGTTGGTAACAGAAACTGGGCTAGTAGGAGGTAGGGAGATTTGGGGAAGATGATTTCAGTTTGGACATGTGGAGTCTGAAGGGTTAAAGAGGCATCTATGTGGAGGTATCCAGTACCTTGCTGGAGATAAAGAACTAGCATTCAGCTTTAGATCAGGGCTAAAGACACAAATTTCAGTGTCATCTGCATGGAAAAGATCATTGAAGTCATTCAATTGTGAGGGGAGAGTGTTGAGAGAGAAGAAATGGAAGCCAATGACAAAATCTTGGGAGATAATATTTAGCAAAGTGCAAAAGCCATAACTGAAGGCACCTAAGAAAGTTCTCTGGGAAGGAACCAGGAGAGAGTAATTCCATAAAAGCTAAGGGAGGAGAAAAAAAATCAAGAAGAAGGAGGTACTCAACCTTGCCAAGAAAGATGCAGACTGAAGAGAAAAAAGTACCATTGAATTTTGCAATTAGAATGTCATTTGGGATCTTAGAAAGAATTGTTTCAGTTGAGTGATGGGCAGAAGCCAGTTTGCCAGGATGAGTGTTCAGAAGGGAGGCAGCAAGTTTACCACTTTTAGAAGTGGAAGGAGACCAAGAGGATGACAATGTGAGGGAATAGCAAGGAGAAGGACAGGACCCTACCTGCCCCTGTGCTACTGTGCCAGAATAAAGGCTCTTAGAGCATGTTTATGAAGCAAGGGATAGGGACTGGTGGAGAAGAAGGGATTGAGGCATGAGAAGAAAAAATTGGGGGGAATAAACAACAGCTATATTTGAAGGGCTATTGTTTTCAAAAGCATTTAGATTGGGGTGGGGAACCTGCTGAAGTTTGGATTCAGTCAGGGCAGAACTTGAGGACCTAGAAAGTTACAGGTTTCCCACCCCTGGTTTAGATACAAATACTTTGTGGGCCCTGGGGCAAAAACTAGAAGCAATGGGTAGAAGTTGCAATGGGTCGGATTTAGGTTCCAATGTTAAGAAAAACGTACTAACAATTAGAGCTGCTCAAAAAAAGAGATACTAACAATTAGCAGCCTTAGAAAGATTATTATGGGGAAAGCACTTTGTGGATTGTAGAGTGATACATGTGAATCATTTTAAATTTAATTTCCATTAGAGAACAGAGAAAATAATGAATCGCTTGGGTCTTCATAATCTGAAGTAAATTAATAAAAATATCCTAATATCAGTGAAAAAGATGATGGGTAAATTCATCAGTCAGGAAACATTAATTAATTGCCTACTATGAAGAGTCTAACACGACTGCAAAACGACTGAACTCAACAACAAAATGTGCCATATGAACTTTCCAGTCTTCTTATACTTTCTTCTCCACTGCCCGAACGTGCCGTGTGGCCTCCTTTCTGTTCCTCAATCTCCAGCTCCAGACATATTCCCTGGCTGTACCTCATGCCTGGAATTCTCTTCCTCTTCTCCTCCAACTCCTTGCTTCCCTGGCTTCAAGTCTCAGCTAAAGAAAGTCTCACTTTCTTCTAGAGCTAGGCTTCTTCAAGAAGCCTTATAACCTCAGCGGTGTCCATCAGAGATTGTATCAGCTACACTTTCTATGGCTGGCATGTAGGACTAGGTAACGATATTCCTGCAGGATTACTAATCGTTGCATCAGAAAGGGGTTAAAAGGGTTAAAGTCCCATTCTTGCCACTTACTGGCTATGTAATTTAAGCAATTCACTCTAGGGTCTCACTTTTCTTATCTGTAAAATGAATCAATTGGACTAGAAGATCTGGAAGCGCCCTTCCGGGTTTGACAATCTAGGATCTCGTGAAAGGTAGAAAAAGGAAGAGAAGGAAAACCTGATGACCAGAGCCTGTTTGATGTAGTGTTTGATTCTGTCTTGGAGCGTAAAGCAGTCTGCGTGTAAATAAGCAAGAAAATCCTTAGCGCTTGATTTACCCAACTGCATGAAACGGGCAACCTGTTTCCTATTAAGTAAAAGGGGCAATTCCACTAACTCTGCCTCAACCATTGCAAAGGGCTCCTTTTAATCAAAACCTTCCCTTTCTCCAAAGTACACTGTTTTTCGGCCTTACCTTCTTGGCTTAAAAAAACCCCAAAACACAAAAACTTTACGAACTGAACCCTGCTTCCTTCGCCCCCACAATTTGTCACGAAGAGTCATGGGTGGAGGTCATGGACCTAGTGTCTAGAAGTACATTTTTAAAATGTGAATGTTTTACTTCTTTGCCTTACCAACCAGAGCCCAGGGTCACATAGTACATACAGGCTGAGCCCCTGAAAACAAAGTGGCCAGGCGATGATTGCGAGGGGGCGGGACAGAAAGGTCCTGTTGATTTTTCCCTTCCTTGACTACAGTTGGCTCAGTCCTGGCGTCAGGGGCAGGGGGCCTCCTGGGGGCTGGAAGGAGGAGGGTAGATAGGAGACCTGACCCCTCCGGCAGCGGAGCTCTGACAAGAAGCAGCAGCAGCAAGTAGGGAGCGGGAAAGGGGACCACAGAGGGGCCCCAGACTATGGGGCGAGCAAAACACTAGATGCGCCTCCTTCTTCCTATTGAAGCAAAGCCTGGAGAAACAGCCCAGAGGGAGCCAGTGGGCAGCGAAGGAAGGAAGTGAAAATAGCGGAGGAGTCTGCAGCTGCCTGGGGTCTCCAAGGACTGTGAAAACCAACCAGCCCCCTGCATGGTCTCCCCACCTCCAATCCGCGCAGCCCAACTGAGACCAGAGAGCAGAGCTACTCATTCACCCTTTCTCTAGGGCCCGCCCAAGCTACGTCGGGGGAAGGGGGTGAGTCCTTGGGACAGACCCTCGAGTCTGATCGACAGACCAACATCCTGTCAGAGGGGCAAAGAGAAAGCGGGAGCGAACACAAAGCAGGCCCGAAAGCTTCGCTAGGCTGAGAAGCCCCCTGGGCTCCCTGCCCTCTCCCAACCTTCTTTCTGTGACTGACCCAGAGTGGACCAACGATTCCGCCTTCTCTCCTTCTTGGGCTTCCAGGAAAGAAAAAGGGTAGCACCACCGGCGGACAAAGCGGCAGCAGCAGCGAGGGAGAGCTGGAAAGAGAGGGGGGGTCGCGCTGTGGACAATGGGACTGCGTCTCCTCCTGCTCGCCTGCTTGGGATTCAGCTTGTTTGGCTCCCTGCTGTGCACGCGGACCCCAGCACATCCTCTAGGTAAGAGCCTCCAATCTGGCCCCCCCTCCCGCATGCCGGACTTCTGTGGGGATGAAGGGGCAGTCAAAGAGGTAGGGGGAACCCAGGGTGGAGTGCGGCCGGTCGGGCAGTTCACACCTGTGTTTTAATAAATGGGCTAGACTGGAGTGGCGCGGTGCCTGCTAAAGTCCCCCGGACCCCGCCCTGCACCCAAAAGGTATCAGGGAGATCTGCTCTGAGATTTGGTGAGCTTGCCCTGCGAGTCGTGCCCTGGGGCAATGAATAAGCAGGTGCCCTTTGTACTCTGGGGAGAAGCAGATGGTACTGAAGCTGATGTGGGTACTGGAGCTAATGTGGAATTTGGCGGAACAGCTCACGGCTTCCTGGGGTGGGTTAAGATGGCAACTCTCACAGTACATTGTCTTGACACTTCGCCGGCAGTCCCCACACCACACATAAGGAAAGGATCTCAAACTGCTTTACAATTCTGACACCTAGGCTTTAAGGGTTTCCAAAGCCTCTGAATACATTTTCTTAGACTTCACAACAATGCTATGAGATAGTTATTTCTAATTCTGTTTTACAGATAAGGAAACTGAGACTCAGAGTTAAATAATTTGCCCCCGGTAAGTGTGACCTGGGTTGAATTTGAACCTAGGTCTTTCTGACTCCAAGTCCAACACTCAATCATCTCAGACAAACTGTCTACCAAATGAGCGCATTAGTCTGAATTAAGGTTCCTGGTTAGTTTTATTGTTGTTGTCGTCGTTTAACCCCTTCTCATTTTACAGATGAGGTAAAAGACAAAGAAAAAAAATCCTTGTAACTTTCACACGATTAGGTAGTAAATTTGTTCCCTGATCCATCAACAAGTTCTCATTGGACACTGCACTATGTGTTAGAATCTGTATATCAAGACAAAAATGAGAGTCACTGCACCCAAAGAATGACAGGGACAGAGCCTGTTTCTATTCTGATCGCTAAAAATGGCTTCCCTACAGGAGAAAAATATTTATTCTACAAAATCGGTTTCTCTCATACTCACTCTCCCATCAAAAATTTCAGAATTTCTTCGCCATTCTTAAGTCTCCCATAGGAAGGAATTGTTTTACTTCCTTCACTTGCTTTACCTAAGAGAATAGTTTTCCCATCAGCAAATTGTTCTCAGGCAACTAGTTACTTTGCCAGGTGGGGCAGTGGGAGCCATTCTTAATCTTTTCAATTTTATAAATGTTCAGAAGTGTTTTTAGACTTTAGAGGCTGCCCATAGGAGTGTAATTATATGATACTTGAGGTTCATAATACAGTATATTGAAACTATGGGATAGAATTGTAATACTTTTTTTTTCATTCAGAGAGAAGGCTAACAGGATTAAAAAAAACAGTAAGAATGGGTGCACTCTGAAATTATACAGGGTGTAGATATACAGAAGTTAAAATGTAACAGAGGAAGTTTTTCCCCCAGGTGTTTTGTGTGGAGCTTGAAGAGAAATTCGTAGTAAAGTTAATTTTAACTTTCAGGGGCCTAATATTTTCGCACCTAAAACTTTAATGTAAAAAATAAATCATGAAATAACCACACTGTCATAAAACCGAGAATAAACGAATTTTGTGTTTAGTGAGTATATTAAAGGTTGTTTGTGTGTGCCAGCCATCTTCCTACTCTTGTAAGCTCCCTCTGCTACTGTGCATTCTAAGAATCACATCACTAAGAATCACTGTATGGCTGTAGACATACATGAAAGACGTACAAACAATTGAACAGAATTGGGTAAGAGATACCAAAAGGCAAGTGTCCTAACATTTTTTTTTACCAATTGGGAAAGATGTCAATCAATCCCTGGGATAATTTTAGAATGATTTATTAAACAAACTATTTGCAAACTCTAAGAAAGAAAACAATGATTACTAGGAAGGAGTATTGATTCACTAAGACCAAGTCATCCTAAACCAATTTCCCCTTTTTGATAGGATTACTAAACTGTATGAACAGGAGAATACCATTTCATTGTATATTTTGATTTCAGCAAATCATTTGACACAGACCTTAATCCTATCCTTATGAAGAAGATGAGGAAATATAGTAGTTGGTGAAGCAACCACACTGAAAGAATGTTGATTAACAGAATATTAACTTGATAGCCTCCCAGTGGCAGACCACTGGGTGTTGTCCTAGCTTACCACTTTAACCAGATGACTCGGGTGAAAACATAGAAGGCATGCAAATGAATTTTGCCAATGGAATAAAGTCAAAAGGGATAGATTACTAATATTTTGAGTGGTAGATTCAAGATTCAAAATATTTTTGATAGGCTAGAAGTATGGGCTGAAAAGAATAAAATGAAGCTTGGAAGGAATACATGTAAAATCTGGCACTCAGGTTAAAAAATCAAGTTCACAATTACAGGATAGTGGGTGGACACCTGGCCAACATAAGTTCAAATGAAAGGGGTGTGGAATCACTATAATGAAAACTAATATGAACCAAAAGTGTGACCCAAAATGTTAATGCAACCTTTGATTGAAAAACATGGCACATCTGCATACAAATAGTAGAACAAACTCTATTTGGCTTAGAAGAGAGATTTATAGGGGTGGAGAGATGATAGCTGAATTAAAGTGTTAAGACATAGAAAAGGGATTGGATACATTTTGCTAGATCCCAAAAGCTAGAACAAAAACCACGTCATATAACTTACAGAGAGGCAGTCTTTCACCCAATACAAAGTAACAATTAGGGTTGTAGTTCATCACCCTGAGTATAATATCTCCTTAAGGGGAAATGTTGAATTGGAGGATGGATAACTTCAGTCAGTTATGTTGTTAGGGGAAGAAGGACAGTTCATGAAATTGGGTGAAAAGCCAAGGTAGATGATATTTAGTTAAGTTGCTTTTCAGTCGTATTCACCTCTTTGTGATTCCATTTGGGGGTTTCTTAGCAAAGATACTGGAGTGGTTTGCCATTTCCTTCTCTAGCTCATTTTATATACAAGGAAACTGAGGCAAACAGGGTAAAATGATTTGCCCAGGATCACACAGCTAGGAAGTATCTGAGGCCAGATTTGAATTCAGAAAGATGAGTCCTCCCAAGTATATAATAGGTATGTAATACATATATAATATACATATTATAGCATATACAATATATATTGTATAGATTATATCATAATTAGTTAAATATTAATTCATTTAAGAGTCAACAAACATTTATTAAGTGCTCACTGTGTGTGAGGCACTATTCTAAGTGCTGGGGAAACAAATAGAAGCAAAAAACAAAGTTCCTGTCTTCAGGGAGCTTACATTCTAATGCAGGAAGATAACACATTAAAAAAGCTGGAAAATGGAGAGGGGTAGCTAAAAAAATTACTGAACTCATAGTAACTTTTTGTCAATAGACATTTTCTCAAGCATCAGACACTAATAGTACAACTTCTATTGAAAAAAAAAAGTCTCCACACTCAAAAAGGTAGTTATTTATTGGTTGTCAAAGCTTTAGGAAAAAAAATCAAGTGGTAGAGGAGCTTCTTCAAAGGTGTTTCAGCTGGTCCTTGGACAACAGAAATGGACCTGTGCTTAAAGCCTTTCCAGTTTGGTAGTACCTGCCAAGATTTGTGTCCTGTGGAACCCAGCATGATCTCCATGACATGATGAGGCAATGGAATGTGACCATTTAGTGGAGGAACCTTGCCATGTCTGAAATTCTTCCATTTGGTGTCACTTCCTTCCTGACCACTGTCTGACATTGTCTCAAGAAGGCCACTTTTAAAATGTGAATTCAAGTTCCTTTTATATTTAAAAAAAATGTACTGCTCGGGCTATAGGAATTATAGTAATAACTTTTAAATATAAGTTATATATAAAAGTATATCTAATATAATTTATGACTACCATAATGCACAATTGTATAAAATATATTCTTACATCAGATTCTGTGACAAATGAAAAATGGCCATCATAGATAAGAAGGTAAACTCTGTCTTGTAGAGAACAGAATGGAAGAATATATTAATTGTAAGAAGAATATATACTTTGGATTTAAAGACTATTAAAAAAAGACTTAAAATTTAAAAATAAAATTTTTGAACAATCAAAATTTTATTTCCCTTTCTACTACCATTAAAAAAATACAAAACTCTTAAAACAAATATGCATAGTCAGACAAAACAAATTAATTGACCATATCCAAAAATGTATGTCTCATTCTGTATCCTGAATCTATCACCTCTCTTTCAGGAGGTGAGTAACATGCTTCATTATTAGTCCACTAGAATCATAGTTGATCATTGCATGGACCAGAGTTTTCAAGGTTTTCTCAGATGTTTGTTATTGTATGAATTCTCTTGGGAATTCTCCTACTTTTGCTCAATTCAATCTCTATTAGTTCATATAAGTCTTCTCAAGTTACATTGGAATTGTCCCTTTCATCATTTCTTATGACACAGTTGTATTCCACTATATTCATATACCATAATTTGTTCAACCATTCCCCAATTGATGGTCACCCTCCCTTGTTTTTGTTTTGTTTTGTTTTGGTTCAGTTTTTTGCTATTATAAAAAGTGTTACTATAAATATTTTTGTACATATTGGTCATTTTCCTCTCTTTGACATCTTTGGTGTATAGGCCTAGTAAGGTATTACTAGATCAAAGGGTAAAAAGAATTTAGTAACTTTTCAGACATAATTTCAAATTGCTTTCCAGAATGACCATACCTATTCACAGCTCCACCAACAGTGCATTAATGTGCCTGTTTTCCTACAGCCACTCCAGCATTTGTCACTTTCATTTTTCTGTCAACTTTGCCAATCTGATGGGTGGGAAATAGATGCATAGAGTTGCTTTAATTTGCATTTCCCTAATCATCAGTGATTTGGAACTTTTTTTCCCCCACATAGCGTTGAAAGCTTGGGTTTCTTCCTTAGAAAACTCCCTGTTGCAAAACCTTTAACCTTGCAGGTCTTTAGCTTTGAAGGCTCTCTACTGATTATATTTATCACAAATGCAACCTCAGTTATTAAAGTT